CGCCCCCGCCAGCCAGGCCCGCGGCTCCGCCTCCCTCAGACGCGGGCGCGGAGACGGGCGTCACTTGGGAGTCTGCTCCAAGGCGGAGTACTCCATCTCCGCCACGGAGGCGTCCATGAGCTTGGCGAGGCCCGTCTTGGCCGAGTACTTGAAGATGAAGGCCTTCATCAGCTCGTACCTGTAGTTGCGGTTGATGAAGCTATACAGCACGGGGTTGACGCAGCAGTGCACCAGCGACAGGCACTGCGTGACGTGCAGCGCCGTGAAGAGGAACGTCTCCAGCTGGCAGGTGAAGGAGATGTAGTGCAGGACGGAGAAGACGTCCAGCAGCACCACCACGTGGTAGGGCAGCCAGCACAGCAGGAAGACCACCACGTAGGCGAAGATGATCCTGCGGCTGCCCTGCTTCTCCGGGTCGCCGGACGCCGGCAGGGCCCGGGCCAGCAGGAAGTAGAAGACGGCGATGACGGAGAAGGGGACGGCGAAGCCCAGGACCACGGAGAGCAGCTCCATGCCCACCAGCCACTCCCGGGCGCTGTGCTCCGGGTAGAAGGAGCGGCAGTACGTCTCGTTGCCGGCGGCCGACGTGACGGTCTTCAGGTAGTAGGTGTCGGGCAGGGACAGGCCGAAGGCCAGCAGCCACACCAGCACGCAGACCACGCGGCGGGCCGTCTTCTTGCGGTGGCCGGGGGCGTGGGCGAAGCGGGCGACCGAGAGGTAGCGGTCCACGCTCATGCAGGTGAGGAAGAAGATGCTGCCGAAGAGGTTGACGGAGAAGATGAGGTGGGTGACCTTGCACGTGAGCTCCCCCATGGGCCACTGGCTATGCTGCACGAGGCTGACCACCCAGACCGGGACGGTGACCACCACCCACAGGTCGGCGATGGCCAGGTTGAGGATGTAGCAGTGCGTGTCGTAGCCCGTGGTCTTGGCCTGGACGTTGACCCAGACCACCACGGAGTTGGCCACCATGCCGATGACGAAGATGAAGATGTAGACGAAGGCCAGCGTGTACAGCAGCACGCCCTTGCTGGGCATGCTGGGACACAGCACCGTGTCCACCGCGATGCAGTCGCTGCTGTTGCAGGGCCAGCTGACGTCGGAGAAGTTCCCCTGCTCCGCGTAGTCGAACAGGTGCAGATCCATGGCGGGGGCGGCGTCCAGGGCCTGGGGGGAGTCTGAGGAAGACCGAGAATCGCTCGTTAGCCGCGCCGGTGCCTCGGCCGCCCGCAGGCCCGGCCGCCCGCTCTGGCCCGGG